TACCCTACATCTATGTTAAGCTGTTCAACATTCTACTAACACTATTTGATGTAGTTATAATATAAGATAATTAGGGCTGTCAAGTTAACGCGTTAACGCAAAAAAAAAATTAGCGCCACTAATTATTTTAACGCGATTAACGCATGTGTATTTTTTTTCCTCGGCCGCCCCGTAGTTTCAGAGCGCATCGAGTTTAAAATACCATCTACAAGCTGATGCTGACAGCCCCGCTCCTGCCGCCCGTTTGTGGCAGACCACACTTCCACGCTCACCGGCAGGCACCGACTGGCTGTTGGGAGGACCGGGAGGGTGTGTGTAATATGTGTGGAGCGAGAGAGAGACCTTACGTGCATTGTTGTTGTTAGCATCTGGTGCTAGTTAGCTGTGCTAACGGATATGGAGCTGTTTAAATGAAAACAGAGGAGCGACATTTCGCCACAACTGCGCCGAGCACTTGACTTTATGCAGGCAGCCAGACAGTGGGACATTGTACGAAAAGTCAGCACACTCAGCACGGATAGTGCGCAACATGATTGCAGCTTCCAGGCAGCTCCCGTTCGAGCATATGCCTTGAGTTGCACATGGCTCCAACGATCCATCACACACACACACACACACACACACACACACCATTTGTATTGTATTATTGTATGAGAGGTTCCAGGTTGAATTGAGGCGAATATTTGTAATGTTCAGAGGTTTAATATTCATGAGAATATTTGTCATTGTTCAAATGATAATAAACATTAGCATAAAGCATATTTGTCCACTCATATGTTGATAAGAGTATTACAAACTTGAAAAATATTCATCTAAGGTACATTTAGAACAGATAAAAAATGTGCGATTAATTTGCAATTAATCGCGATTAACTATGGACAATCATGCGATTAATCGCGATTAAATATTTTAATCGACTGACAGCCCTAAAGATAATACATTGAGAGAGCTGAGACAGGCTATACAAGCGTATCTGTTTGAATGTCCTCAAATTACAGTATTCCAAACAGCAGAACTTCTGTGTATGTGATGTGACTGACAACCTGACATGGTTTAGCCTTTTCCCACACCTACTACTTGCCTGATCAGCCTGCTCTCAGCTTTCTCATTTGTCTGTGTTGTATTGAAGCAGTGTCCTAAATGTAAAATGACTGACATTTTGTTTTAAGAACTGCTCACCTGTGGAGATTGCAGTGGCAAAGTGTTCCTGTGTATGGAACAGCACTCTGCAACCACAATGTTGCACTGCTGTTCCAGACCGCACACTACTCCACACTCAACCTGGCTGCTGTACCCCCTGTCCTCAGCTGCACTGAAACAGAGCAGCGATGGCACAAGCCAAGAACCATGGTAAGTACAGTATGTGTTCACAACCAATCCACGGTTTAATGAGTATTTCCTTTGTGCCAAGAGCTGATTTAGTATGTTGCATCAACAACCTTTTCAATTCATTTGACAATTCTTTTGTGTAATTAATAGGGTGTGAAACCAGGCAGAGTGAGTGACATGGTGTTCACTTCCACTAAGCCAAAGCAGTTTACAGTTGCTGACGGTGTAAGGTAATATCTATTGTCCTAAGTAATTGTATGTAGCCTGCTACAACTTTGTGATTGTTGTCTGAGTGTAAAATGGTTCTTAAAGTCCTAATTATCATATAAACATGTTCAAAGGAGTACACGTTACAAGGCCGTGCGGGGGGAGCTGCCAGACCCAGATGTCCTCAAAGTCAGCGAGGCATACAAGGACTTCTCAGCAGACATCGCACCACGAAAAAAAAAACGAATGGCTCACTACTCAACTCAACGACTAACACTCTTTCAGAGGATATGTTGGAAATGCACACATTATATATAAGTTTTGCATCTACTTTCTGGATATTGTACATCTGTTCATCTGTTATATAAACTAGCATTACTTAAATATGCAGAGACTAATTGAAATGTTTAAATATGTATTTTTCCCCCCGATATAACATCAACCTATGTTTTGTAAAAGTTTATTAAATTAATCTGTAAAATGTTATCATATTGTGGATTTATTAAATTATGTATTTTCCTTTGTTATTTGTGTGTGCGTTTGTTTTGAGGATATAATTCATTAGTACCTAAACATAGTATGGTATAACTGCTTTTTGTAATGAAATACACAATTGGTTTGGGAGCAAGACATCTTTTAATCGTTGTTGCCCAGGCTTGCCGAAATGAATGGAAACTTATCTCCCGATTATAACATTGTGTAACTTGCTGCTGTTAAATACTGTCAAACTATGTGCTTTATGTGCAATATATAGTTTATATACATATGCCATCTTTAATAACTGTAATATATATACCGGGCTGCTAAATCCTAAGAACTGCTACAGGATTTGATTTGCAGATTTGATTTGTTTTTGATCTGTATTTTTGAAAATTATGTAAGTTTTTATCTTTTTTTTAGCATATTGTTTATTATATTATAACTTAGTACTTTTCTAGCATATTGTTTATTATATTATAACTTAGTACTTTTTAACGCATGTAAGATATTCAACACTAAGCTGTCTGTGGCTCTTTCCTGCTTCAACGCTGCAAATGTCCCCTCTGTGGGACTAATAAAGGTATTCTGATTCTGATAACGGGACGAATTTGTACAAAGGGGCACACAGCAATGTAGTGCCGACTTTCTAACACGCTGGAAGGCCAGTCGCTTTTCTTTACCCCGAAATCCGCTCATTCTTGCTCTCGGTGTGACATAACAAGCTGTCAAAACTCTGTACTCAAACCGGAAGTACTCAGCCGCACACCCAGCCGCCGGAAGTTGATAGACGCCATCTTGTGCACAGAGCCTATAGCTCATAGATATAAACAGATATATATAAACATTAACCGGTGTTTATATATATCTATGCTATAGCTGGCCCTCTGTGAATCTACAGAGGGACCAACAAGCTCTCCCGTCTTCACATAACTCGCAGAGACGGCATTTAACCCTTCACATTCCAACAGAAATTGAACAGGCAGATTCGAAGGATTTATTTCTTTGGAAATATTATTTTAAATACAATTAAATCAAGTTATTTTGGTAAAACTAATGAAAAATGTAACAACAAAAATATACTAAAAATTAATATTTAAAAAAAAAAACGTTTTCAAATATTATTTTTTAGAATATCTTAGGCCCTCACAGAGGGCCTAGAGGGCCCTGACGGCTCGCCACTGTCTCTGAGACTATGGTTCTCAGCAGGAAAACGAAGGACTGTCCACTCCGAGTAGGGAATGAGTCCTTACACCAAGTGAAGGAGTTCAACTATCTCTGCATCTTGTTCTCGAGTGAGGGGACAATGGAGTGTGAGATGGCTTGGAGAATCGGAGCAGCTGGAGTCTTACGATGAAGAGAGGCAGAAGGCAAAGCAAAGCTCTCAATCTACTGACCCATTTTGGTTCCTACTCTCACCTAGGGTCATGAACGATGAATCATGACCGAAAGATTGTGGAAACAAGCGGCCACAATTGGTTCCCTCCAGAGGGGGGCTGGCATCTGAGAAGGACTCGGAGTAGAGCTGACTTTGTGTAGAAAGGAGCCAGTTGGATGGATGGATGGATGGTTTGATGGATGGATGGTTTGATGGATGGATGGATGGTTTGATGGATGGATGGTTTGATGGATGGTTTGATGGATGGTTTGATGGATGTTTGGATGGATGGATGGTTTGATGGATGGATGGATGGATGGATGGATGGATGGATGGATGGTTTGATGGATGTTTGGATGGATGGATGGATGGATGGTTGGATTAAGCCCTGTGTTGGTAAAATCTCCCGAAATGTGCAACAATTTGATGCAGAACAAAAGAGGCTTGCTTTGATTAAGTGCTGCCCTTTTTTAAATTACACACTCACAGCAATACAAATGTGCCGTTACATACAAACCTGGCTCTAGCAGATGTTCTGTATGCCGGCCTGGTTCACAAATAACTAGATGGATGATTGGTGTGTATCGGTGAAAGAGAGGAGGCCTCATTAATCAATGATAAGTCATGCGACAGTGTCAGAAAATCCACTGATCTTTCATTTTCACAGGCCGGATGAAAGACGTGGAGTATGAAATGTAATCAGTCGTAATTATTTGCCCCAGCAAAGCGGCCGATCTTTTGACCTGCGACTGTCACATGCCGTCTCACAAGCCGCACTTATTTGTGCAGTATTTGAAAGCCAAGCAGCCTCTAATGGAGACGTGCAGCATCCAATTGAGCTGTTTTCGCTCAAAGTGTTAATTGAGACAGATGGTGATGCAAGATCCATTACATTTTCTGTAATACCAGCGAGCAAATCAAACTAATTCTATGCTGTGCTGAGCGCCTGACAATTGGTTAGTTTACTATATTACAGAAGGGCTGCGGTCAATGCACATTTAGCACAGAGTAAATGTCCTTCAGACGTCTGCTAATGAAAAACATGTTGGCATCAGAAGGATGAAGTAACTAATGGACGGCGTGTCATCATCAAAATATGTTGCAATGTTGTTTTGCATTGAATTTGTTGCAGTTAAAAAGTAATTTATTCCCTCTGCTGGTAACTTCTGCTGCGTTATTGCTCCACAGAGAGGGGCTGCTTGGAAGACCCAGTTTTAATTTTCATCTCTTAAAATGAGTTAATTCGGAGATTGTGGAGATTAAATATGTGCAGATCAAATTTTTAATGAATTACTGTTCCCTGTCATAATGACACTTTCTCTCAGCTTCGTCACATATTCCCCTAAAGTCTGGGTATTAGATTATAGATACCTTTTGTAACAGCTGCATGTAGACAAGGCATTATTTACATACTGAATTTAAGTCAATTTACACTATAATAGGCTAACTTACAACTAACAAAATGTAAACATATGGAGTGTGCAAAATAATTGCAGTTTCAGATTGAATTTAAATGCACAACCACAAACAATATGTGAATATTCTTGTGATACTTGATTGTTATTCTGTAACTCCTAATTTCCTTTCACTTTCCACCTCTCTGCTGCAGTGCGTTACCTGGGCTCGCTGGAGGCCTTTGTGTCGTGCAGCACGCAGCCGCAGAGCAGCGTGGTGATTGGCTGGAGGGAGAAGGAGAGCAGGAGTCTACGAGTCACTTCCTTCTTCACAAAGAGAGGTGTGTGGGACATGGACCACCACCGTGAACTCAATCTGATAGGTGAGGACCAATGTGCAGTCACACTTATATAAAAATAATACTAATAGTTTTTTTTTTAAATAAAAGGTTATGTTTGTCCACTCAAGTTCATTTCCATACTGAATCCCCAACTGTTTCTTAGAGAGTAACGAAAGAGCAAATTGGAATCCACCCAAAGAAAGAATCAATGCTTAATGAAGGATTTGATGGCTGCAAAGAATCTCTATGCTTTATAATAAATGTGTGTATGCATAAAAAAGGCTTTGGTTTTGAGACTATATTCAACACATAGACATACTGCAATGAATTAGATGCTCTGCTAATTTGGGACGTTCTGATTGGTTGTAACCAGAGGTGGGAAGTAGTGGAGTACAAATACTTTGTTGCTGTACTTAAGTACATTTTTCTGGTATCAGTACTTTACTCCACTACTTATTTTTCTGACGACTTTTTACTTTTACTTCTTACATGTTGAACCCAAATACCTGTACTTTCTACTTCTTACATGTTGAACACAAATACCTGTACTTTCTACTTCTTACATTTTGAACCCAAATACCTGTACTTTCTACTTCTCACATGTTGAACACAAATACCTGGACTTTCTACTTCTTACATGTTGAACCCAAATACCTGTACTTTCTACTTCTTACATGTTGAACCCAAATACCTGTACTTTCTACTTCTTACATTTTGAACCCAAATACCTGTACTTTCTACTTCTTACATGTTGAACACAAATACCTGTACTTTCTACTTCTTACATGTTGAACCCAAATACCTGTACTTTCTACTTCTTACATGTTGAACACAAATACCTGTACTTTCTACTTCTTACATTTTGAACCCAAATACCTGTACTTTCTACTTCTCACATATTGAACACAAATACCTGGACTTTCTACTTCTCACATGTTGAACCCAAATACCTGTACTTTCTACTTCTTACATGTTGAACACAAATACCTGTACTTTCTACTTCTTACATGTTGAACCCAAATACCTGTACTTTCTACTTCTTACATGTTGAACCCAAATACCTGTACTTTCTACTTCTTACATGTTGAACCCAAATACCTGTACTTTCTACTTCTTACATGTTGAACCCAAATACCTGTACTTTCTACTTCTTACATGTTGAACCCAAATACCTGTACTTTCTACTTCTCACATATTGAACACAAATACCTGGACTTTCTACTTCTCACATGTTGAACCCAAATACCTGTACTTTCTACTTCTTACATTTTGAACCCAAATACCTGTACTTTCTACTTCTTACATGTTGAACCCAAATACCTGTACTTTCTACTTCTTACATGTTGAACTCAAATACCTGTACTTTCTACTTCTTACATTTTGAACCCAAATACCTGTACTTTCTACTTCTTACATGTTGAACACAAATACCTGGACTTTCTACTTCTCTCATTTTCCAAACAGCTGGTTCCTTTAGTCTGAATGTGTGTTTGGTGCGTGATCATTATTATTTAGAGTCATTGCGTGCCTATTGATTTGAACACGATCCGTGTATCCATCATTTCCTGGTCTTCTCTAAAGAAGAGGGACCAATGGAAACGTTGTCATGTTGCCGTTGTTCAGCATGGAAACATTCATTAGCTAACAATGACATTATTGTTCTCTTAATATAAAGGGAGGTCAGGTACTCTTTAAAACAGCTGCTAGCTATGGGTACTTTTTACTGAAGTACATTTCAAAGCCCTCTTTACTTTTACTTGAGTAAAGAAGTTTAGTCAGTACTTCTACTTTTACCAGAGTATTTTTAAACACGAATATCTGTACTTCTACTCGAGTAAAGGATGTGTGTACTTTTGCTATCTCTGGTTGCAGCCACAGCAGGTGTGGATCATCAGGTGTTGCTGTGGAACCCGTGTGTGACCTCGGGGCCGGTGTGTGTGCTCAGCGGACACACACCGGCCCCGTCACTGCAGTCCGCTTCATGCAGGCCGAGCAACAACTGATCAGCTACTCCAAAGATAAGGTGTGTGTCTTTCTGCTAGAACAGATAATGATGAAGAGCGCTGTAATATTAATTGTGATACCTGGCTATAATTACTGCAGAGGAAGGACGCCATGGTGCAGATGATTGGAAGCCTATTTCACACTGTTGCTGTTATAAGAGCTATCACTTTTTCTTTCTTCTCTCTGATGCAGAGAGGATGTTGCTGCTGCTGTTCCTCGCCCCACTTGTAGCTTTCTCTTTTGATTTTCATGAGATGATGAATATTTCACAAGCAATTTATGTTCCACCTGCCTTCTGCTCAAACACCATCTGCCATTGCGAGAAACTCTAAAAGCTTTAACTCCGTTTCTTCCGGAAGATTTCCCGGAACAGCGACAGTTCTCTTGTTTTGTGTCCTCAAGCAAAATGGCAGAGTTCTTGTGAGTTGTGACTAAATGGCACTGCTTGATTCTTCTTGGCAATTATTGTATTTTTTCTGTAATTACTACAAGTTATCCTCCAGAGACCCACCCATTAATTGTTGTCCTCTGTGGAGCACATTGGGTTTTGGTCCATTACTTTGAGGTTATACATGCCACAGCATTAAGTCCAATTGTACTCCACAGAGGACATCCTGGGCTTTTCAGACATGTGACATATGTGGGGGTGTGGCTTTGAAAAAGATAATTTCATTGTATTTCAAAATAGCGTCCATTAACACAAGCACTATTTATAGAAAGAGGTAAGTTTGTAATTTTGTAATTACCAGTGTTGTGAGGTCAATATTTGTATTAATTATAGTAAGGGAACATCTTAGGAGTTTAGTGAGTTTCAGAGCAATGTAATACTTTTTTGACCTAAAACTAAATGTTTTTATGAATGTCCTCTGAGGAGGACATGGGGATTTGCTAACTTTTTATTTCCCCCATTTTACACAACACAAATGGAGTCCACTACGGGCCAAAACTAACACGTAGGTTTCTGTAGGGTTCATGGTGGATGCAGTGGGAAAACATACATCAAGTGTCAGATGTATCTCTGCATTTAAAAAAGGATGTTGCACTACAAATGAGGGCTCAATATTTGTTGCATTGAGTTGTTGTGCTCTAATGTTGTCTAAATGTACTTGTATGTTAATGTTGCTTGTATATGCTTCGCATAACTAACACCCGATGTCCTCTACAAAGGACAAAACAAATCAAAATATATTTTTTTAGTTTTTGTTAGTCATTATGTTAATACCACCCTAAAGACTTGTGTGATAAAAAAAAAAGGAAATTTGAAACCTATTTCTTTCTGGGTCTCAGGAGGATAATGTCTTGTGATAAATATAGTCTTTTATAGTAGATTTTCTTTTTTTATCTGCGGTGCTTCATATAGCTTCTACCACTACAGCACACGTGAAAACCCACCAGTTACAATAACATGTAGATCTTACAAACATTTCAGAATTCTGAGAAAAAAGTCTGAATTCTAAGAAACAAGTCAAAAATATCTCAGAAAATATCTCACTTATTTCTTCAAAATTTGGACAAAATAAATGTTCTAAAAACAAAAAGTGCACATGTTCTTTCTGTCCATTCTCCAGGTCCTGTGTCTGTGGGATATTTCTCGTCAGCTGTGTGTTCACCGTCTGGCCGGAGTCTTCCCAAAGACGCAGGAGGACACACACACACTCCTGTTTCTCCACGAGGAGCAGCACCTCCTCTTTCTCTCCTTCAACAGCCTGCTTCTCCTGCTGGAGAGGAAGGAGGAGGAGAGGAGCAGCAGCCATGAGCACCCTGTCACCTGTGTGCTGTACAACAGTCTGTTCAGACAGGTATGCAGCTGAACTGAGACTTTCTATTTCCCTCTCTCTGTTGATCTTTATTCCGAGACATAAGGCAGGAAATTGTAAGCAGGATATTTGAGAGCTCAATTTTGACCTTCGCAACAGCAGTTTTAAAATAGTCCATTTGGTAGAAGTTCCAGAGCTTTTAGTTATTTCACCTGCTCCTCATCATAACAGGACACTTTTTGCAACATATCAGGTTCATATTCGTATTTTGTGCGTCGACTGTGACATGTTTACGTGCTTCAATGTTCAAAAAGGTCTTTCTTTTTCTCATACTGCCTTTGACTTGGCTGTGTTTGTGGAGCATATAATATGTTGAAATCAAATGCCTCGAAATACTTCATGATACTGTTTGACAGAAATGTAGTTTTTCTTACATTATTATTGGAGGAGCAGAGGTTTTACAGAGCATCAAAGCTTCATATACGTTTTATTTGTTGTCCTTATTATGTATTATTGTATGTTTTAGATACGTTATGTTCCCTTTACCCCACTCCATGACACACTTGATATCAGTGTCCCTGCCAGTACACCAATAAAATAAATAGCTCTTGCATTCAATATAGCATTTTTAAAAGAGTGCATTCACTGTTGATACTCCTGCTTTTATTCCCACTTGACAGCAGCATTAGTCGCATACTTTCATCAGTGGCTTAGCACTAAAATAAGAGTGTAACGAAGCACGATGAATTGTTCTGCTTGACAGAGAACATCAGTGGAGCCCGGCTCTCTCAGGCAGCGTGGAGAGGATCAAACTCTCTCTGATGATGGATGTCTCTCTCTCTCTCTCTCGCTCTCTCTCTCTCCTCGCTCTCTCTCTCTCTCTCTCTCTCCTCTCTCTCTCTCCCGTCTCTCTCTCTCTCTCTTCTCTCTCCTCTCTCTCTCTCTCTCTCTCTCGCTCCTCTCTCTCTCTCTCTCTCTCTCTCTACTCTCTCTCTCTCTCTCTCTCTCTCTCTCTCTCTCTCTCTCTCTCTCTCTCTCTCTCTCTCTCTCTCTCTCTCTCTCTCTCTGCAGGCCGTCAGCAGCGACTCGGCCTCCTCTGTGATCTGCTGGCGCGTCGACACGGGCCAAAAGGTCAAGCAGTTTCGCCGCTGCCATGGAAACGCAGAGATCTCCACGATGGCCCTGGACGGTACGCAGACCCGGCTGTTTACTGCGGGCGCTGATGGAGAGGTCAAAGTAGGTGGACACACGTACACCCACACACACTCAAGTTAAGACCGTATAGCCGCAGGTCAGTTGTCATATAAAAACTGAAACTCTGAAATGTAAATTCGTAAAAAAACAAACAAACAGTGGTAAAGTCAATGAGTTGGTCATTTTTTAAGAATAGTTTAGGGATTTTACAAGTAAGTGAGTTTTTCGTGCTTTGATGATGCTACAATGTCTATGGGCAAACACAAGGTCACAATGGAAATAGGTTTTGTGACTTTCTTATGTTATCCTTCACGTCCTCTAACTGTGAATGCACATCCGTTTTGCCATCATCTAAGTATTGAAAGGGTTGTAAAAAATAAACAAACAAACATTTGAGGGTTGTTACTCTTGTACGTTATTTTGTTAGATGTTTTGTTTAAGAGGCCATAGGGAGAGAAACCCCCTCTGGAGGGAACTTTGGGATTTTAGCCTTAGCAGACCATTTACATGCACAAAAACCTAAATAACACATTACAGGAAAAGGAAAACCCCAGAACAGATAATAGGGCCTCTTTAATTTCCTTTGTAGCCATAGCTAGCATTACAGCTTGACCTAACGCACCTTACGTGGCTGCAGCTAGCCTAGCCACTGTAGCGAGTTTGACTGATTGATAACATTTTTGGATCTTTTTTATGCTTTTGCACGAGAGATGCATATTAATGATAATTTTTAGCATTTTAGAAAAAATCAAAGCCTCATCTGTCGTCCTAATTACAACAAGCGTGTGTGTGTGTGTGTGTGTGTGTGTGTGTGTGTGTGTGTGTGTGTGTGTGTGTGTGTGTTCTATTGGCAGAATCGTTTCTTGCGTTTTTTTCCTTTAATTTTCTAATTTGGTAGTAATTTCAAACGTGTGGTGCTCTGTGAATTATTCCACATTCAAGCACTGACTCGACGCTCAGTGTAATTGTTCTCAACAGATGAGTGCAGTAATTATACACATGGTAATCAATATAATCAACCACATCAGCTCTCTGACCGTGAGCCCTCGTGAGGATGCAGCCTTGTGCATCCTGTGCATGAGAAGCAGCCTCAGGTAGGCCTTTTGGGCAAATAGCAACTCCATGCATCGACTCTCCAATTTTCATCAACGCTGAACCTGCGGCGTTGCAGTTCAGGCGGTTCCTTTTAACGACAGTGTTCCCATCGGGCCAATCAGCTTTCTTCTTTGTTAATTGCCACAACACAAAATTGAACAAATTGGTGTGAAATATTACCTGAGCTGCCATGTTTGATGGATGTGTGGTAGGATGGGGGATTTATATCCAAACAACATTTTAAAGATGTTCTTCTTGAAATAAAAGCCCTTAGACATTGTTTAAGAAAATACTGATCCTATTTCTGTTACCTCTTGGTTTTACAGACAAGATAATAAAGTGAATTTTGCAAAAGGGAGTGACATGCAGAGTTGGGCCTATTGTTTGCCTATGTGTTGCCTATAGATTGTTATGTGTGTTGCAGGTGTGGGACTTCAACGGCCGCTGCCTCCACAGAATGAACGCCGGCCTGGGTCGATCTGTGGACATCTCACAGGTGCTGCTGCTGAGGAGGAGTGTGCTGGTGATGGGCTGGGACAGGTACTGTGGTGCGTTTTGATGCCTTTACGTTTTAGTATTGTGAGCTTACTAATACAAGAAACACATGACACACTGGAAAGAGACATCAGAGGGTTTTTTACTTTAACTATAACATGATTTCTGAATTATTGGAATGAAGTCTGACAGTTTTCCGGGAAAAACACTGTTATTCCCCTCTGTATAATGTGTGCTAGACCGAGCATATTATCTCTCCTGCAGCGCTATCTGTTCCTACAGTGGTGACTCCATTTTCACCTAAAGAACCAGTAGATACCAAAAGTGGTTCTTACTGATGTCCACTGGTCTCCAGTCAGTGTAACACATGTCTCTTGTGCTGATTCCTCTGCTTTCTTTGCCTTGTCACTGTCATTTGATCCATGGTAAACATCCATGCTGGAATTACAGGAGGACATTTGGTTCAAACTTGGTCATGTAATTAATCTGCGCACTTTTTTTCAATCACATGTTAAGTTTTAAATATGAATTGCAAGCATTAACGCATTAAAGGTAGGGTAGGTAAGTTTGAGAAACCGGCTCGAGATACACTTTTTGCTATATTCCATGGAATGCTCTTAACATCCCGATAGCAATGAATATCTGAAGTGCTTTGACATAAATCCATACAAAAAATGTCATCTGTGGAAGCCGTAGTACTGTAAAAAGCACGACCAATCATCTGAGCCGGCCCGGCTAAAGTAACTGGATGGCCTACCTGCCTGTCAGCCTTCCATCTGTGCACAAACTTATCTCGTGCCCTCATTGGTCATGTGCGCGTTCGTGTGTGTTGGAGGAGGGGCTCTGTGAGGAAGGGGCAGATTTTTTCCGGCTGTGTATTTTCAAATTCTAGCGCACTCGAGCGGCTTTCTCCAAAATTACCTACCCCACATTTAAGGTAGACCGCCCCTATTTACAACACACCAAACTTCTGAAAAAAATAAAGTGAACAAATTCCTTTGAAGTCAAGAAAGGGCAAAGAGGAGCAAACACTATTGGCAAAGTTACTTGTTTGTCAGTCGCCGGGTGGGCTTTTTTTGTGTGTGTGTGTGTGTGTGTGTGTGTGTGTGTGTGTACGTGTGTGTTTATGTTTGCCCTCTCAACAAGTCCTCCAACTAATACGACTCAAAGCCATAAAACATCTGGACCCAGTGAGCTGATCTCAGCAGTGTGCCATCATCAAGTTATACGACTCTTCTTTCTCTGTCCTCCCCACACACACACGCACACGCACACGCACACGCACACACACACACACACACACACACACACACACACACACACACACACACACACACACACACACACACACACACACACACACACACACACACACACACAGGGGGGTGTCACAGCAGTAAAGAGAACATGGGAGACATGGGAAACAAAATACAGCCGTTATGACTTTCATCAATCATATTATTTCCTGTTTCTTTCACACACCTCGAGCTCAGTTTAATCCGTGCTGTGTGTCTCGTGGCGTCGTATCAAAGACTTCTGCTGCTCTCACCATCTCACACAGGCTGAAAACACAGCATCCCACTGTTTCACTTATTCTTCAGAATGATACATGTTTTTTCATTTAATGTACCTGCACTTCCTTAGCAACGGTCTTCAAGCAGACTTCTGAATGTCCAAATTGATCAATTACAATTCAGTATTCAACTAAGCCGTGTTATAAGGCTTTTTAAAGTGTGTGTGGCTACAGGTGATGCTTCCTTTCTGGTACATCTTGCTCTTTATGCTGTGGTAGAAATAGGATGTACAGTGTTTCTGTGTCCATGTTGTTCACCACAAATATACAGTAAAGAAAGTCTTTAAGAGGTTTCTATTGAAACACAAACCTCTGAACCTTACCTTCTCCTTCTTTCTCTCTGCAGGATGTTCACAGTTTTCCGTCTGCATTCCTTCTCTCAGTCTTACGTTGAGCCGTCAGAGTGGAAGGGAGGCGTTCAGCATCGCAGCGACGTGCTCTGTGCCGCCTTCCAGCCTCCACAGACGCTGGTCACAGGTGTGTGTGTGTGTCTGTGTGTGTGCATTGCTAGCACTTGAAGAAGGATATTTTATTGAAATGAACCCAAAAGCTAGCATAGTTGTTGGCAATGAAAATCTGAAGTCCCATACCTCCAATGAGAACACAACATACAATATATTTAAAGAGTAAATATTTTGCTCATTTTCAGGTATTTTGTGTCTATGTGCAGGGGTGCACATAACTTTTTTGCCCTGGTTCTCAAAGGAGCACCTGGAGATGTTGCTTGGTGCTCATCCTTAAAATGAAATAAACCGTAACTTTTGAGGGGTCTTGACTTTATTTGCCAGACACACGGCACTGAACACACATGCAGAGGTGAACACAGAACACACATGCAGAGGTGAACACAGAACACACATGCAGAGGTGAACACAAGACAACATTAGCACGACCAGTAATCCTACAAGCTGTCATCACTACCCTCCTCACTGTTCTCCTCACTGTCTTCCTCTCTGTCAGACATGGTAGCTGATGATGTAGGCCTACTACTTTCTCTCTGGTTGAGTCTGCGATTAGCTGCTGGTTTTGGGTCGAAAGTCTCTGTTGTCATCTTAGACAAGTGGATGTAATCAAATAAGTATGTGAACATAACCAATAACCTACCATAGCCAATAACAAATGGATGTAACTTATTTTATTTGTGTTGTTCATTCATATCTTATTTTACCTTAAAACATTTGTTTTTATCTCTCCAGTTTTAAAGGATATTTTTGGTTACTGTCCTATAGTATACATTGGAATGATTTCAAACCTGTTTATCCCAATAATTATAAAGGAGTGCCTTGGAAATATGTGTTTACATAAATTGTGACCAAATCGTTTGAACTTAGACTAAAGTTAACTATCTAAACACTCAGGATTACTTTACCTCACTGAGCTGTAGTTAACTTATCAGCCTCTCAGTCTGACTGGAGAGGACTCTCCCTCCACATTATTCTAGAAACATCTTCTTCTTATATCCGTTATAGCAGCTAGCACCAGATTCTAATAACAGCGCCGGTACCGGTGCACCCTTCCTCACTCACTCGCATTTTGGCTGTGAGCTGCGGTTGCCAGATAAGCCAACATCCCTCATTTTCATCACTTACAGCGCCCATCGTACAGGGCAAATGAAACGTGTAACTGGGGTGAAAAGGGTGTACATTTACTTAATTGTGAATATCGTTACATCAAGTGCGAAAATTAGGATGAGCCCCAACGGTCAAAAAAAAAAATGTTCTCCTCCCAGAGCTGCCAGCGCAGCGCCTCCACAGATCTGGCGCCCTAGGCGAACATCTATTACGCCAGGGCTACGGGCCGGCCCTGAGTTCATATGCAACTCGCAAATATCTTTCTCTCTTCTCTCTCCTCTCTTCTCTCTTCTCTCTTCTCTCTCATCTCTCTCTCTCTCCCTCTTCTCCCTTCTCTCTCTCCCTCTCTCTCTCAATGTTGGTGCGCAAATGCGCCTATTTTCAAATGACCCGGTGCTCTTTTTTTGACAGAGGTGCGCATGCGCACCTGCGCACCAGTTATGTGCAGCCCTGTCTATGTGACATGTTTACATGCTTTAGTGTTCAAAAGGGTCTTTATTTTTCTCATACTGCACGCACGCACGCACGCACACACACACACACGTCTCATTTCCCCTCACTCCCACTGAGAGAGCGCTAATAAACATAATTTAAATTGGACATGTGGATTAAATTGGTAGTGGAGGCTGCAGCGCGGGGCAATGTGTGTGTGTGTGTGTGTGTGGTGTGTGTGTGATGTGTGTGTGTGTGTGTGTGTGTGTGTGTGTGTGGTGTGTGTGTGTGTGTGTGTGTGTGTTGTGTTGTGTGTGTGTGTGTGTGTGCGTGTGAGTGTGTGTGTGTGTGTGTGTGTGTGTGGTGTGTTGTGTTGTGTGTGTGAGAGGAAGAAATGCATCAGTCTAACTAGTGGTGAAGAATAACTGGGAGTGTCAGTTGGAGGAAGCTGGCAGAGAGGAGCTGAACACACTGACAGAGAAGTCGGGAAGTTTCCAGGTTCACACACACGTGAAACTGGCTTTTTGCTCCAGCTCCAGCTCCAGCTATTCATTTCCTTCCGAACCATTTCTCCCTCCAGCTTAGAAAAACACCCACTCTTATCTACCTTCCCACCTCCATTTCTCACTCTCTATACTTATCTCTAATGTTGACACGTCCCAGAAGGCCAGAGGAGGTCTGCAGTTTATATCTGCGCTCGCACACACACCGGTAAACTCAAACTGAACTTCCAGAGCGTGAGGTGAAGTGATACAACTTTTTAAACTAAAGAGTAAATACGGTTCAGAGTGTTTGTGGTTTGATGGTTATGGAAGTGGACAGTTACTGGAGGACTGTCAGTTCAATCCCTCTGGCAGAAAAATCTACTAAAGTAAGTTAAAATGGTGGCAGCAGTGATCGAGGTTTTCTGTAACTGTCCAAGTCTGTTCATTTTCTTTTCCATTAACCAGTCTTTAAACACACCAGAGCCAATACTGTGTTCCTGTTAGTGTTAGCTTCCTGTATGTCTTCTTCTGCTGTTCCCTTTAGTGTTTACTTCCTGTCTGTCTTCTTCGGCTGTTCCCTTTAGTGTTTACTTCCTGTCTGTCTTCTTCTGTAGATTTGACTGACGTCCAGCTCTTTGGGTGTTTCTCAATGTCGAGGACGCTTCCTTGGTAGGACATGTCTTCCGAGTCAGGTCCTTCAGAAGCGAGGCAAGAATCCTTCCTAGCCTCGGAAAACGAAGAAATGTGGAACAGGCTAACAGGTGTGCAGGTGTGCTTCATATGCGAGGCCCCGCCTTAAATGGAGCGCCATTTCCACCAAAGATTTGGGAAATTGGTCCGTGCGCAAAGCATTGTGGGGATTTTAAGACCGCGGAGTCTACACATGTGCAGCCTCGAAATTTCTCGCTACGAAGGACGCCGGGCTCGGTAGAATTCCAAGGAGCCTGGACATTGAAACAGTCCTTCGGCGGGACTCGATGACGTAGCATCCTTGAAATAGTGGCTCTGGAGCATCCTTCCTTGACATTCAGAAACACCCTCTGTCTTGTATCCACTTTCCTTCTCTTGCGCTCTACTTATTTTCTTTACTGGGGACAGTTTAGCCATCATGAATCCAACGTTTCCTACTCTCCACAAATATAAACATTTATGTTTCTTAAGTCCTCCATGGTGTTTTCTGACAGAGAAAAATAATGTTTGTTGACCGGACTTATTTTTGCGGATTGATATGACCGCACATAGTCCCTTGATCAGAGGGGCCTTCTTATCAACAGTCTGCTATCCTTAGCAACGGTCTTCTAAAAATAACAGACCTCTGGAATGTCCAAATTGACCAATCAGAATCAAGTATTTAGCTAAGCTGCGTAAGAGTTCTGCTTATCTTTTGTTAAGATGTTTAATGTTTTAAGTTACCAACAAATTGTTTGTGTCTTTGGTTAATGCGGTTTCTTGATGTGACATAGCTTGCCAAACAGGATGAAGCATCAAAACCATAAAAACCTGTAAAAAAGTCATGCTCACAAACTTTGTAAACGCATGCCAAAGTTGATATAAACTCAATAGTGGAATAGGAAAGGAAATGATTGATAGCAGAGAAAATGAAATCAATGCATGATCCTATCTTTCTATTTTAAACAGAAATACCATCGGTTAGATAATAAATACAGACACAAAAACTACCCCCTGCTGCTCCAACCTACTACTTTTGCGGACAAAAACAAAACAATGATGAAAACTGAAAAATAAATGTGTTTTTATTTCTGTGGGCAGTTCCTTGCTCACACAGAAGAAGGAAAAAGTGTGTGAAACTTTTCTTTGGAAATAAACTGTGCCTGATCTCTCTTTCTCATTAGACTCGTGCAGAGTACTGTATGTCATTTAAAAAAAGATATATCATATATACTGCTTGACCTTTCCACTTCACCTGCTCTTAATACGTCTCTAATTAAGAACTTAATTAGGATGGAGCTTGTTAATTAATGGGCTCTGACAAGTAAAGGATTCGGCCTGTGGTGAGGGAAAATGTAATTAAATTAATGAAGCTATTGTTGCTCTAAGGCAGCGTTTCTCAAAGTGTGGGGCGCAGAGATGTGATAGGTGGATTGCGAAATACAAAATAAATTTTAAAAAAAACACTGGTGGAATATCAAAACAACGGCCCGCCCGGGGTGCAACACGCATCAATGAAAGCGACCCTCTACCACACAAAACAACACCTGTAAATAACCCAATTTGTGTTCTTTCACATTGAAAAGGATATTGCATTGTGTTTGTTACTTTCGTTGCAGTTGTATGTCTTAAGTGTAATTTGGCATGCTTTTATTTTGAAGGCGAGTTTACGCTGTTGACAGTTGTTGTTGCTATGGAAACAAGAAACGTTTCACAGCGGGCGGAACTTGTCATAAAGTCCGCGATAATAAAGCCCACCCATTTAGAGGGAAGATATGATTGGTCAATTGTACTTTCATTTGACATTACTCTCTCATTCAGTTACTATAGCTGGCCCTCTGTGAATTCACAGCTGGACGTCCAATCAGCTCCTGTCTTCACCTCGCAGAGACGAGCTTCTTTCATTTAACCCACACCCACATTCAAACAGAAACTGAATAGGCAGATTCAAAGGATTTACTTCTTTGGAAATGTTATTTTAAATACAATTTAATCAAGTTATTATTGGTAAAACTAATGACAAATATTACTAAAAACATATTTTAAAAACATATATAAAGAAAAATATAATTTGTTTTAATGTTTTTAAATATTATTTTGTAGAATATCTTAGGCTCTCAGAGACAGGCTCGCCACTGGTAAAAATCTCTCATACACACATGTGAAACGCTCTCACAGACACACACAACAGCGTTGCAGTCGGGAAGAAAAGCAATGTGGAGCGAGAGAGAGAGAGAGAGCGAGAGAGCAAGAGAGAGAGCACACCTTTATCTATTTAATAAAGTTGTAAAAAATAAGGTAAGAAATCATTCCAATAGGA